GGAGCTCGGAGCTGACCTACCGGGAGACGGTGAAGAACAGCTCCAACGATGAGACCATCGCTGCCAAGCAGGTGAGGCCCCAGCCTGGCCTGAAGGAGCTGCCCCTGTTGGGCTCTTAATCCTGGAGAGTCTTGCTCCCTCCTGGGTCCTTCGTGGGCACAGGGAGAATCGTCTAGAAGCTTGAGAACACAGATTTGGGTCTCAGTAGGATCAGTGGGATTTTAAGCACGGCTTGGGCCTTGGCCACACGCGCTTACTCTACGCACTGGTCACGCACATGCGCACTCAGGAAGGGAGCAGGTGATGGACACACCTGCGCGGGGAGCGCTCTCTGGGGTCAGGCAGGCCCTGGAGTCTGCAGCTGCATCTCATGGGGCCTGTGGGGTCGGTGCGGATGCCTGACAGATTGAGAAGGACCTACTTCGGACAATGCCCAGCAATGCCTGCTTCGCCACGGTGAACAGCATCGGGGTGCCGCGCCTGCGCAGAGTCCTCCGGGCGCTGGCCTGGCTCTACCCGGAAATCGGCTACTGCCAGGGCACAGGCATGGTGAGCCTGCCAGGGGTGCCTCCATGGGGGGGGTGACGTTGCTCCCCAGGAAAGTAGGATGGGGTGTGGGGTTGGGCCTGGGGTCCACAAGGGGTCAGGCCAGCTGCTTCTGTCAGGCAGGGCCTGGGGGGCTGGCCCGAGGCAAGCCATGGGCAGCAGCCCAATTAGTGTGCGCTCGCAGGCTCTGACCTTGTGCTCAGGCCGCCTCTGCCCTGCCAGGTAGCCGCCTGCCTCCTGCTGTTCCTGGAGGAGGAAGACGCTTTCTGGATGATGTGTGCCATCATCGAGGACCTGCTCCCTGCCTCCTACTTCAGCACCACCCTGCTGGGCGTCCAGACCGACCAGCGGGTCCTGCGCCACCTCATCGTCCAGTACCTGCCTCGCTTGGACAAGCTTCTCCAGGAGCACGACATAGGCAAGGCCCGGCCAGCCCCCTTCCTGAGCCCAGGGGTCTGGGGCTGCTGATGGATGGAACTCTGAGACCTCTGGACAGCGGGGCGGATAGCTAGGCTGCAGGCACAGGCCCGAGAGTCTGCGATGCCCATGGCCCCCAGAATCCCCCGCTCTTGCTGCTCTCCAGGAGGTGGCAGACAGCCCACTGCCAGGCTGGCTTCAGTCTCCAGCGGCCCTGATGTCTATTTGCAGAGCTGTCCCTGATCACACTGCACTGGTTCCTCACGGCCTTCGCCAGCGTGGTGCACATCAAGCTGCTGCTGCGCATCTGGGACCTGTTTTTCTACGATGGCTCCCTGGTGCTGTTCCAGGCCACACTGGGCATGCTGCGCCTCAAGGTGAGCGAGCCCAGGCCCTCCTCCCAGCGCCCGGCCTCAGCCAAGAGCCGGAGCTCCGTGCCAGCCCTGGCAGCCTCCTCGGGGTGGGCCTGAGGGTGGCAGTGGTGGGCAAAGGGCACGGGCATGTCACCTTCCGGTCCACCTTGCTCCATCCTAGACCAGCATAGTGTGGCCTGAGTCCTGGTCACTGCAGAAGGGTGTGCCTGTTTGTCTGTCTGTTGGAGGGGAAGGGAAGGGAAGGACGGACAGTGTTTTCCTGGGCCCAGAGCAGAACTAGCTCCTAAACCCAATGTTTAGACAGAGAGCGCTGCTCTCTGGAGACGGTGCCAGGTGCCAACCCCCACTCCTGCCCTCTGTGGCCAGGAAGAGGAGCTGATCCAGTCAGAGAACTCAGCCTCCATCTTCAACACGCTGGCCGACATCCCCACGCAGCTGGGGGACGCGGAGCTGCTGCTGGGGGAGGCCATGCGGCTGGCCGGCTCCCTCACGGCCGTGGCGGTGGAGACGCAGCGCCGCAAGCACCTGGCCTACCTCCTCGCAGACCAGGGCCCGCTCCTGGGGACCGGCACCAACCCCAGCCTCTCCCAGGTAGACCGAACGAGGAAGGGGTGCCCCAGGCTCTGCCACCCTCGCACCCCACCCTGGCACACCCAGGGCCTGGCATGGGCACGGAGCGCGACCCGGCCCTCAGTGTCGTGCAGCGCCAGCCCCGAGCTGTTTCTGCCCCTTCTCTCCCCCCCCCCCCCCCCCCCCCCCCGTGGCTGCCTGGCGCCTCCACCAACCTCCCTGCCCGCCTGCAGGTCGTTAAGCGCAGGGCGCAGCGCCGGAAGTCCGCCATCTCCTCCCTGCTTTTCGGTGAGCGCCTCCGCTTGCCTGCTAGCTGCCCTCCCTCCCCGGGCGGGGGCAGGACGGGCCGGTACCCCAGCTCTCTGCATCTCCCAGGGGAGGATGACCTGGAGGCCCTCAAGGCCAAGAACATCAAGCAGACAGAACTGGTGGCCGACCTGCGCGAGGCCATCCTGCGTGTGGCGCGCCATTTCCAGTGCACAGACCCCAAGAACTGTAGCATGGTGAGCGCTCAGCGCCGCCCTGCGCCAGGCTCCCCTCCTCCTCCCCAGCCCCGCCTGCCGCTGAGGCTCCCTGCCCGGGGCTTTCCGTCCTCTCTGGCAGGAGCTGACCCCAGACTACAGTATGGAGAGCCACCAGCGGGACCACGAGAACTACGTGGCCTGCTTGCGCAGCCACCGGCGCCGGGCCAAGGCCCTGCTTGACTTCGAGCGACACGATGACGACGAGCTGGGCTTCCGCAAAAATGACATCATCACGGTGTGTGGGTCCCCGCCCGCCCCTCCCCGGGGGCTCGGCCCAGCTGCGGCGCCCGCAGGGCCCTGAGCCGAGCTCTGCTCTGCCCAGCTGCGGCCCGGGCGGCGGCGTCCACAGGGCCCTGAGCCGAGCTCTGCTCTGCCCGCCTCCGCAGATCGTGTCTCAGAAGGACGAGCACTGCTGGGTGGGCGAGCTGAATGGCCTGCGAGGTGAGGGACCCCCGCCCGTCCCCCTCGGCCTGTCCTCACTCTTGGCGGGGAGGGGGCCTTGGACAGCCACTGCCCCCCCCCCCCCCCCACACACGGCCGTCTCCTCCCACAGGCTGGTTTCCAGCCAAGTTCGTGGAGGTCCTGGATGAACGGAGCAAGGAGGTAAGAGGGCACCAGGCGGGCCAGGGCTGCCCCGCAGCCACGCCTGCCTCAGCCCCTGCCACGGCCCGGCCCCGCGTGAGTCCTGCCGCGGGGCATGGCCTTGCGGGTGGGGAAGGGTAGCCGGCTGCAGGTGTGGGGCCAGGGTCTCTGAGACCCCTTTCTGCTGGCAGTACTCCATTGCAGGGGACGACTCTGTCACCGAGGGGGTCACAGACCTCGTCCGCGGGACGCTCTGCCCGGCCCTCAAGGCTCTGTTTGAACACGGGCTGAAGAAGCCGTCCCTGCTGGGGGGGGCCTGTCACCCCTGGCTGTTCATCGAGGAGGTGAGTCACGGACTCCTGCAGCCTCGGCCCGCAGAGCCCCTCAGGCCCTTCGGGCTCCTGGGCTGGCATGCGCATGCGCGGGAGAAGCTTGCAGGGAGCCGCGTGTGCTTGGTTGGCCCTGGCTTTGCGCAGGCCCCACACTGGCCGTGTCCCGTCTGTCACAGGCCGCAGGCCGGGAGGTGGAGAGAGACTTCGACTCCGTGTATTCCCGCCTGGTGCTCTGTAAGACGTACAGGTAACTGCCCGCCCGCCCGGCAGGACCCGTGCAGGGAGGGAGGCCACAGTGCCCAGCACCCCAGGCAGTGCTGGAGCTTTGGTCCCCTCAGGTTGGATGAAGATGGCAAAGTCCTGACCCCAGAGGAGCTGCTCTACCGGGTAAGCAGAGCCTCCCCGCCCGCCCTCGGCGCCTCCCGGGCACCCGGAGGGGCACCGGTGACCGCCTTGCCCTCCCCAGGCCGTGCAGTCTGTGAACGTGAGCCATGACGCCGCGCACGCACAAATGGACGTCAAGCTCCGCTCGCTGATCTGTGTGGGGCTCAAGTAAGTGTAAAGGGGGTGATGAAGGGGTGCCCGGAGCCACGGAGGCAGGTCAGGAGCTGCCCGGCCCGGGCCCGCCCTCCTCCCAGCCTGTCCCCAGTGAGCAGGTGCTGCACCTGTGGCTCGAGGTCCTCTGCTCCAGCCTGCCCACCGTGGAGAAGTGGTACCAGCCCTGGTCCTTCCTGCGCAGCCCCGGCTGGGTCCAGATCAAGTGTGAGCTCCGGTGAGGACCCAGCCCAGCTCCTGGCGGGTGGCTCTTCGGGACCCAGGACTGGGGGGGGGGGGGAGGGGGGCACTCGGCAAGAGGCAGGCCCAGGGCCACCTGAGCCTCCCTCTCCCTTCCCAGAGTCCTCTGCTGCTTCGCCTTCAGCCTCTCCCAGGACTGGGAGCTCCCCACCAAGAGAGAGGTGTGTACAGCTCTGCCTTCATGGGGCACGGGGTGGGGGCACACCTGGGGCCTTGGGGTGCCTCTTCTGAGTGCAGTATCAGCCAAGACTGAAGAAGGGCTGTCACGTGCAGGAGGACAAGCAGCCGCTGAAGGAGGGGGTTCAGGACATGCTGGTGAAGCACCACCTTTTCAGCTGGGACATCGATGGCTGATGCTTTCCCAGCTGCCCGGGCACAGCCTCCTCTAGCCATCGGCTGCCCAGCAGCGCCCCGCTTCCAACAAGAAGAGGGGGAGCTGCCCTGCTTAGCCCAGGCCTGCTCTGGAGCAAGTCTGGAGTGGTCTAGGCCCTCTAGATGGGGTTGAGTCCCCCCCACTCCAAGCTCATGCTGTTGGCCAGAGCAGAAGGTGGCCAGCTGCTCAGCTGCTGCCCCCGGTGCAGGCTTGGGGGCCCAGACCTTAAGGAAACCTCAACCTTGGAGCCGGCTGCGCGCTCTTGCTCTTGCCAATCAAACGAGAGCTGCAGCCTTGCTGTCTGCTGAGGCGCGGGGCGGGGTGGCTCCTGGGGTCAAGGCCTCCTGACCTTTGTGGCTTGTAAATAAACCGTCTTGGTGAGAGCGCCTCTGGTCTGCCTCCAGGCAGTGCTGCGCACCCAGGCGCTTCCCGCCGTGGCCAGCCAGAGTTGGGATTTGAGTCGCTGGGCGGGAACCAGACAGACAAGTTGGTGTTTGGGTTTTTTATTTCAGAACGTTCACACAGCGTCCTCACCTTGGCCCCAGCCCTGGTTTTGGCGCGCCCTGGCGACTGCCCTGTGCCCTCGCGCCAAGGCCCCCTGCCCAGGGTCACGCCGGCTGCGGTGAAGCGGTGGGATGGAATGTGGGGGGGGGGGGAGCACCTCTGCCCTTGGGGCACTAAGGGGCAGGCGAGGCACGGGCCGTGGGGGGGTGTGGGCACATCAAGCACATGTGAGCTGGGCCTGGGTAGCCGCAGCGGGAGGGAGCGTGCGTAGGTGTTGTGTGTAGTAGAGAGGTATATACACCTGTACACAAGTCCTTTGCCACCAACCGCTAAATGGTCACTCTACACCAAGACACTACAATGGCGGGCGCTCCCTCTCGGGAAGCCGTGGGAGGCAGAGTCAGGGCCCATGTCCTCCCCTCGCAGCTCAGGGGAGGGAAGGAGGGAGGGAAAGAGGGAGGGGAGCTGGCCCTGACCCTGCCTCTGCCGCGCTGCAGCCAGCTGTGCACCTCTGACCTCAGAAAAGGAGGTCGAATTAAGCTGGCTCTGGCCACACCCCGCTGGGGCGACAGGTGCCCCTGGGCAGTTTCTGCCCTCTGCCCTCCTCTCCGCCTCGCCGGACGGGAGGAGCAGGGGCTGTGATTGTCAACGCTCACAGCCACACGGGCGCCAGCTGGAGTCGGGGCTACAAGCAGGAATCCCAGTGCAGCTGCAAGTCGTGCCCGTCGAGAAAGTCCGTGGAGAAGAGGCTGGGGGCTGTGGTGCTGAGGGGAGCCAGGCTGAGCACAGGGCCGCCCGAGGACAGCTCCAGCCAGTCCATGCTGTCTAGATGGCCGTCGGCCAGGTCCAGGCCCAGGCCGCTGCTGGGCTCAGCAGCAAAGTGCAAATCGGAGGTGTCCATGGGAGAGGGGGGGTGGTCCAGGATGGCAGAGCTGCTCAGCATCTGGCTGTGGAGGTCATCGATGAGAGAGAGAGGCTCCGGCCCATCATGCCCGCTGGTCAGCAGGGGCAACCCTGTGCTGCTCTCCAGGAAGTCCTCCAGACGCCCGGGGAGGGCAGGGGAGCCTGGCGGAGGCAGGGCAGCCTGGGGGAGCTTGGTGGGAGGGGAGGGCTGCACTGTCAGTGGGGACCCACAGTTTGCTACTGAGGGTGGCTTCTTCCCTGGAAGCGACGGTGGCTCCTTGAAATCTGCGGAAATTTCTGCCATGGAGAAGGTGAAGGGTCAGAAGCCAGGCCTAGACCCAGCACAAGATGACCAGAGGCCTCCCCTCCCCCCCCCCACCGCAGGGACGCCCAACTACAGCAGGAACGATGAAATTCAGATGGTGGGAAATCTTTTTTTTTTTTTTTTTTTTTGGGTCCGGTTGTGGGGCCTGAACTCTGGGCCTGGGCGCTGTCCCTCAGCTCTTCAGCTCAAGGCTAGCGCTCTACCACTTGAGCCACAGCGCCATGTCTGGCTTTTTTCTTTTTGCTTATGTGGTGCTGGGGAATCGAACCCAGGGCCTCATGCATTGCAAGGCAAGCGCTCTACCACTAAGCCACCTTCCCAGCCCGGGAAATCTTGATGACATCAGATGTGGCCATTGTTTCTTGGCTGCACCACCGAATTAATACCAAAATCTAAACCTGGACTGGGACTCAGAAGAGTTCTTGCCTAGTGTGTACATACATATACATACATACACACACACACAGAGTTTGGAGCACCAAAAGACAACCAAAGTGAAAAGATTCCTCTAGGAAAAAACTGCAAATCATGCGTTTGATAAAGGATTAATGTCCAGAATATGTAGAAAACCAAAACTCACCAAGGAAGAGCTCAAAAACTACCAGGAAATTTGACATTTTCTCTAAAGCAGATATACAAATGATCCACAGCACACAAAAAGAAGGCACCCAAAACCACAAGCTACTTCCAAAGCAGGAAAGAGGTGTGGGCAAGGTCCAGGGTACTGTCAGCACATAAGGCCTGGGTTTGACCCCCAGCACCAAAACCGGTAAAATTGAGATGCCTATACAGATGTTGGTTAGAATGTAAAATGGTGTGACTTTGGAAAAACAAGGGCTTAAAAAATTTTTTTCACAGGCTGGGAAGGTGGCTCAGTGGTAGAACGCTTGCCTTACATGCATAAGGTCCTGGTTTCTATTCCTCAGTACCACATAAGCAGAAAAAGCTGGAAGTGGCGCTGTGACTCAAGTGGTAGAGTGCTTGCTTTGAGCTGAAGAACTGAGGGACACTGCCCAGGCCCAGAGTTCAGGCCTCATGACTGAAAAAAAAAAAAAGTTAAAGGGGCTGGGAAGGTGGCTCAGTGGTAGAGTGCCTGCCTTGCATGCCTGAGGCCCTGGATTCGATTCCTCAGCACCACATAAGCAAAAAGAAAAAAGCCGGAAGTGGCGCTGTGGCTCAAGTGGTAGAGTGCTAGCCTTGAGCTGAAGAGCTGAGGGACAGCGCCCAGGCCCAGAGTTCAGACCCACGACTGGACCCCCCCAAAAAAAGAAAAAACTGCAGAGTCCAGGCAGTCCCATATCCAGGTATATATACTCTGAAGAATTGAAAGCAACAGCGCAAGATTTCTTCACTCATGATAGCCATGACAGCATTGGCATAAAAATGGGAGAACACTGAGAATAAGTAAGTACACTAAGTAAAACAAGCCAATCACATTACACACTGCTTGATTTCTACTGACATGGGTTCCCTAGAGTGGTCAGAAGCACAGGCAGGCATTAGTGGCTCATGCCTGTAATGCTAGCTGTTCAGGAGGCTGAAATCTGATGATTGCAGTTCAAAGCCAGCCCTGGCAGGAAAATCCATGAGACTCAGACTGCCAATTAACCACCAGAAAACCAGAAGTAAAACTAGCAAAAAGCTAGCCTTCAGTTAAAAAAACAAAAGCAAAACTCAAGGACAATGCCTAGGCCCTGAGTTCAAGCCCCAGGACTGGCATGGACTGCCACTGGCTGGAATGCAGGCAGGCATGCAAACGCGTGCACACACACACACAAAAGAAAAAAGAATGGAAGGAGTTTGTCTAGTGAATAGTGCAGTTTGGGATGATGAAAATGTTCTAGAAATGAATGGTGGTGATGGTCACACAACACTGAGGTGCTAAATGCCAATTAATGGTACACTTCAGAACAAAATGGCAGCTAGGTGCCCGTGACTATATCCTAACTGCTAATGAGGCTAAAATCTAGATGATGGTGGTTCTAGGGCAGCCCAAGCCTGTGAGACTCCATCCCCAAAATAACCAGCAGAAAAGCAGGGCTGTAGGTTCAAGCAATAGATCACCAGCCAAGCAAGCTGGCAAGTGTGAGGTCCTAGGTTCAAATACCATGCTTTGCTACAATAATGTTTTTTAATTATAGAGAAGCTAGGTGTGCTCCGGCCCTCTGGGTAAGCCATTACCCCCCCACCCCCCGCCCCTTTTACACTATCTGCAGCACGCGCTCGCTCTCTCTCTCTCTCCCTCTCTCTCTCTCTCTCCAGGAACAGGCAGCACTCACCTCTCCTTCCCCCCTGCCCCTCCCCCCCCTTAAGAGTCTCAGTGGTTCTCAAAGATCAGTTCTGGATCTTTCCTGAGCTTCCAGCCTGGATGGGCAACCTCAGTGGGTCTTCACATCAGCCGGGGCAGCTGCACCAGGGCCTGAGCTCATTCCTCTGCTGCTCCCGCCCTGTTGCGGCCGCTCCGCCCTCACTCCCCAGCACCACAGGCCTGGGCTCCACTGCCAATCTGGCTGCCGACAATGTCCACCTCCTGCCTCGAACCAAACCTCTCCAAGTGTCACCCAGTCTACCTCACCCGAGGCTGCGCCCCTGTCCCCATCTGCTTCCAAGTAGCGGCCCTGGGTGCCATCTCCGCCACTCCACATGCCAGCCTCCCCCTGCCGGCCACACTTGTGCCCAGGCCTCTCCCAGCCCTCGGCGCGGGCAGCAGCAAACCGTCCAGGGCTGGGGAGCAGGTGGGGGCAGCAGGGATGGGAGTTACCTCCGCTCTGAATCAGAATGTCGAACAGGTCATCCATCTGCTGGCTGGAGGAGCCGTTCTCCTGGGGGACAGAAAGAGAAAAGAACATACACGAAAGTCCAGCGCAGGGCCCCGCCTGGCCCAGGTGCTGCCCACTGCCCCGCCCCCCCTCACCTGGTGTTTGGGATGCTGGGTCACGGCCTCCTCATAGCCAGGGGGCTCCTTCTTCAGCAGGGAAGCGGGGGCTCCAAAGGGGGGCTGAGGAGGGGGCTCTAGGTCCATCTGGGCAGATGGGCCGGGGGCCGGGGAGCCCGGCTGGGACGAGGGCTGCGTGGAAGGCTGCGTGGAGGGCAAGAGGATGGCAGGTCAGGGGCAGGGCCAGGCCGGAGGCCCAGGGAGTGTTGGCGCCTCCCCGCCTCCTGCCTTCCAGCCGCAGGGATGCAGGGGTGCTGGGTGGGGGGTGGCTCTTTGCAGTGGGGCACACGCGACATGGAGGAGCGCTGAGGGCTGTCTGTTCAGGGCTGCCTGGTTCAGGCCTCGCTGGGGTCTGAGCGGCCAGGCTGGCGGCGCTGCACTGTATTGCACTACGCTACACTGTTACACGCCCGGCAGCGGCCCAGTGGACCGATCCCATAGTCAGTGGTACGCTGGGGTCCTGGCCGTGGCCAAGCGCACGTGCGCTCTGCTATCAGCTCCTTCCTGGGGCCACCATCCCGATCAGGCCCCGCCTCTCTCAAGTCTTGTCCTCCCGATCGATGGATTGATCACAGGGCTGCCCTGCACGCACCCCTTCCACGCCCTCCCTCCCCCCCATTACCTGGCAGGGGCTCCCGCCGGGCAGGCTGGGGCTGTCTACGCTCTTGTTGGTCACAGTGAGGATGAGGTGGGTCCCCGAGGAGTCGGTGAGGATGGCTGGAGAGGTGACTCCCCTGAGGAGACCGCCCCCTTGGGGGCCCTGGAGCAGCGGGGGCCCCGGAGCCTCCTGCTTCACCACCACAGTGCGACCGTCTCCGTGGCCGGCCGCGGGGGCTGCCAGGCTGGCGCCGAAGGGGTGCGCGGCCCCCTGGGGCTGGTGGCTCAGCGGGCAGCTGGGGAAGCCCCCCTCCTGCTTCACAGGAGCGGCGGGCAGGGCCGGGGCGCAGGCGGGCTGCTGGGCGCGTTTCTCCTGCTCCAGCTGCAGCCGCAGCAGCTCCACCAGCTGCTGCTTCTGCCGCAGCATGCGCGTCAGCTCCTCGATCTGCTTGTCCTTCTCCTGCAGCATCTGGTCCTTGTCCAGCCCCTCCAGCTCGGCCCTGGCGCCCGGGCTCAGGCAGCAGGGCGTGCAGCGCGCCCCCTCCTCTTTCACCAGGATCTGCAGGGGTGAGGCCTGCAGGGTGAGCTGGGTCAGGGGCGACGTCACCATCTCACTGAAGGCGTCTCCGGGCGTGGAGTTCTCGTCGCCCGTGCTGAGCAGCGAGCGCTCTGAGGGCGTGGGAGAGACCGGGGGTGTGGAGCCCGTGCTGCCGAACTTCACCACGCCATTGCTGCTCACCGTAGCCACCACCACCTCGGCAGGGGCCAGGCCTGCCGCCACGAGCGCCGGCCCCGAGCCGAGCCGGGCCGTGGGGAAGGCCACCACCACCTCCCCGGCCGTGGGCAGGGCGGGCGCGGGCGCGGGGGCCTTGGGGGCAGCAGCTTGGTCTTGGTAGGCGCGCAGGCGCTCGATCAGCTCTGTCTTGGTGCCTGAGACGGGCAGGGACCTCAACTTCAGTTCCTGCTTCAGCTCTGCCACCTGTGGGGGTGGGCAGCGAGGGCAGCGGCCGTCAGTGCTGGGCAGCAGCAGCAGCAGCGGGGTGGCGGCAGCACGCCAGCCTCCCCTCCCAACCCCCCCCACCCCCAGGACATCAACGCCACAAGTCTTCCGAAGACCCAGCCTGCCACCCCCTCACGTCCACCCCCCCACCGACTCCCCCAGCAGAGCACCGGCCACTGACTCCTGAATTCTACAGATGAGGGAACAAGAAAGCTACCTGGAGATGACAGGAGTGGCTGGGACAGGACTTACACCCAGGCTGATGGCCACACAGGCTGGGAGCCCTGCCTCGGGAGGGGCCAGCCTGGCCTGAGCACAGGCTCTGGGGGGAGGCTTTGGTCCACTGCATCCTGACTGCATCAGAGAAACACGTGGACACGCAGCGCTCCCTGACCCCAGCCACATCCCTGTCTGGGCCCTAAAGGTGGGCTGCGTGGGCCATTCTTCCCACGGCCTGTACCGGAGAGGCCAGATGTAGCCAGCAAGCGCAGGCATCTCACGCTAGGCCAGCTGCAGCCTTGGGGGCACCACTCACTCTTTGGGGTGCCACCCTGCCCTCACACCGCACAGCATGTGCGTGAGCAGATTGAGGTGCGGTGAGCTGGCCAGGCCAGCGGACCCACAATGAGTTTGGTGTTGTTAGGACCACAGCCAGACAGGTCCCAGAGCAGGTGCCTGGATCCCCAGACCTGGACCCCAACACGGCGCCCCAACTGGGGGCCTGGGTAGAAGGTCCTGGGACAGGCCAGGAGGCGGTGGCACATGTCTGCTAGGGCGAGGCGCTGGCCACTGACCTTCATGTCGTCCAGGTTGGCTGGCAGGTTTCCCGGCTTGCTAGTCAGCGGGGTGCTGTTCTGACGAGACAGTCCCCCAGGCCCTGGGGTCCCCGAACTGGAGTTGCTAGTGGTGCTTGAGAGGGCACGGGCAGGCGGGGGCACGCTGCCTCCCAGAGCTTCACCCGCAGGTCTGGGGGGAAGAAAGGCAGGCGTGAGTGCCGGCCTCTCCCTCACCTGCGCAGGCACATGCCCTCCTGTGGGCCCCAGGCCCCCACACCCAACGCAGCTTGCCAGGCGCCTACTTGGGAGGGGCAGGCAGGATGGCCTGGTAGTTGTAGTGCTGCTGCTGCTGCTGCTGGTTGAGGATCTGCAGCTGCAGGAAGAGCTGCTGCTGCTGCAGGATCTTGGCATAGGAGGAGTCCATGGCAGGTGCGCCCTTGTCCTGCTTCTGGTCGGGGGGGATGTACTGGTGGTACTTGAGCTTCTTCACCTTGGGCTTCAGCTCCTTGGCCTTCTTGCTGCGCTGCGACTTCTCGCTGGCAGACTTGGGTTGGCTTTGCTGAGGACACAAGAGATGGCGCCTAAAGAGTCACCCCAAAAGGGTCAGCCCAGCCCCGAGCCAAGTTCACCACCCCTCCCCCTCACTGGACTGCACCCCACAGTAGCAGAGGCTTCTCTGGGTCCACAGCGAACCAGAAAGAGCAGGAAACAGGCTGGTTCCAGCACTGCCACCAGAGCCGCCAGCCTGGAAGGCCTTTGAGCCATCCAAGGAGCAGCACGGCGGCCTCAAGCAGTGAGAAGTAAGGTGAAAACCGTGACTGCTTCTTGGGGCGTCAGCCACGGCGGACAGGCCTGCTCAGAGCACCCGCGACCTCCCGAGCATCCTGCCCGGCCAGGAACCGTCACCTGGAACTTGAGAGTGAGGGAGTACGCTCAGAGAGGCTGCTGACCCAAGGCTGCACGGTGACCTTGATACTGACCTATTTATGCCCCAAACGTCTCCCCCCACCCCGCCACCCCGCCAGAGCTCCTCAAGCATCACCTCAGGGCCTATAGAATCAGGACCCAGGCTAAGCGCAAGCGCTCAGTGGGCAGCTGCAGGAGCTGTCCTTGGCACGAGGGAGAGTAACTGGAGGAAGGCCGCTCCTGTGCACAGGCCCAGCGCCACTGCGGGAGCTGGAGCCGGCTGAGCAGTGACCGAAGGGCAGAGGACACTGCAGGTCCCGCTGGGATCCCAAGCAGGTGGCCACAGGGACCAAAAGGAAGGTGTGGGCGGGCTGACCCGTAGGGGAGGCCCAATGAGGGCGTGCGGCACTGAGGCGCTAGGTGCGCAGGGACAGGGCATCCCTTGAGAATGCCAAGCGCATGCACCTCCTGCCTGAGCCAGGCTGGGGGGAGGGGAGGGCCAAGAGCTGCCCCCTCCCAGGGGACGCGGGAGGAGCGGTGCAAAGTACCCAGCAGGGCTGCGGGAGCAGAGGGCGTCAGGGAGGCCAGGACTGAGGAGGGACAACGCTCGGTCTGCTGCTGGCACAGGGTGCCCACCCATAGGAGATGGGCACACCAGCAAGGTGCGCGTTGGAGCAGCTATGGGCAGAGCGTGCTTCCAGACACATGGAGGCCAAGGGATGCCAGCGTGACCCCAGCAAGTGTGAAGGTGTGGGTGTGGGAGAGGGGGGCTGTGGCATGCCGGGGCAGTTAGGAAGATACCCTAAGGTATCCCAGGGTCAAGAGGGGCGCTGCCAGAGGCCCATGGAGAGGGAGACTCCCTCAGACCCAGGAGGACATCAGGGAGCAGCACGGAGGGACAGGCAAGGGCTTGGTGAAGGCCAGAGGACAAGCACCGGACGGGCTCCCGGGCTGTGGCCCTTGCTGCCCCTGAGATTCAGGGCTAAAGCAGAGGAGCTGGGGTGACCAAGCTGGTGCCCGCTTTGTGTGGAAAGGGCACCTAGAGAGCAGAAGGGGCAAAGGCGAGGCAGGGGGCTAGGCATTCAGGGCTCAGGCAGCACAGATCCAGGAAGCTGGCAGGGCCGAGGGGCACAGGGGCCCTGGCACCAGCACCTGCACTGCCAAGTTTAACACCAAACCCTTGTGTACACAAGGCCACCAAGCCTGGCGGTGCCCACCACGCCAACGCCACAAACCCTTCCTCCTGGCTCAGGTCAAGGCCTTGGGGGGAGAATGAGCACATCGCCCCAAAGGCCAGCTGCGTGACCTGGCCTACATGACCCTAGACACGTCCCTTCCGCGTTCCCCGTCAGTAGCCTGAGGCAGTGGCGGAGGGGGCAGATGCATGAGCGCAGGGTCCGGCCCTGGGCTGGGTGCAGTGTGCCCGCACACCGCGCTGTCCGTATGGGAAGCCGTGCGGAAGCGCACGTCTACTGCAAGGCGTCCAGGGCAGGGCGCCGGAGGCGCTGCGGGCTGGAGACAGAACGCGCTGCGGCCTCGGTGACTGATTCAGGGGCTTCAGGAAAACGCCAGACAGCGCATACACACGTGCACACACACACGTGCACACACGTACTCGCAGATGTGCCCCAAGTGATGCCTGAATGAAGCCCTGGCACGCGGGGGGGGGGGGGGGGTGCATCAGGCCATACCTTAATGAGCGCGGGGGCGGGTTTGGCGGCGGGGACAGCGGTCCCGTTGGTGAGGCTGGGAGGCCGGGGAGGCAGAGGAGGCTGCTCCCCCAGGAAAGGTGCTTCTCCAGAATCTGCGCCCACTGGGAGTGGAGGGAGAACCTGGAGGGGAGGAGGAAGTGAGGACGGCGCGCAGGGGAGTGTGCCCTGCTACCCACACCAGACGGCCAGTGCCCCCGGGGGACGAGGCAAGGTGAGACGGGCTAAGGAGGGAAGGGCGTGGAGAAGAAGGAGAGGTCACGGCCCCTTTGTTGAGATGGGTGGGCCGGGGAGCTGCCGACTGGGTGCGGGCGCCTGGCCCAGGGCCTCTCGATGGGCTCAGGCTGCCAGAATTAGGGGCTGGTGCTGACGGCGCCCTCCCTGCTCACTGCTGGGCACTCGAGCGCCGGCACGGCCCACCTGGCTCAGGACGCACAGCAGCGCGGCCCTAGCAGGAGGGGCAGTGTCGGGAAGTGGCTCCCCTCACCTGAGTGGGGGACACGGAGGTGGCACTGGGCAGTGGCTCACTGAGTCGGGCCTCCAGGGGTGATGGCACTGAGCTCTGGGACTCCTGGCTGGCAGGCTGCTCGGGGGACAAGGCATCACTGCTGTCCTCGTCAAAGGAAGAGCTGTCTGCGACCTTCGGGTAGTTCACCTGGCCCACTGAAACCAAAGCCCACGTGAGGCTCCTCCTGCAGCCCCGGAACCAGGGGGCAGGGAGCAGAGGCTGTGGCGGCGGGCCGCCTCTGGGCTGTAGGGCAGCGCCGCTCCTTAGAGCAGGAAGCAGAGGATCGTGACCCTGAACCCTGCCGGCCGAGCCCTCTGAGGTCCGGCAGCTCTCCTGCTTGCTTCACGCCGCATGTGGCGCCCTCCCTCCCGCCAGCCCTCCCTGGGGGGAGGCGGCAGGCAGCGCCTCCTCACCCGTCCGGGGGTGCCATGGCACATGTTGACTGTCCCCATCCCACTGCCACACAAAACTCTTGCCTGCTGCTTCCGAGTCCGCAAGTGAGGCCATCACCCGCTGCCCGCTGGTGAGGGCCACAGGCTAGGGAGCTCCTCCCTGGGGCTGCCTCAGTTCTCCAAAGACCAGACCAGCCTGTGGAGGGGCTCTGCTGTCATGAAGGGTGGGTGTCCTGGAAAAGGACGCCCGCCTCTCCAGCGCCACAGGAGCGGCTGAGGTGTGGGACCCCGAGCCCCAGCACTGGGCAGCAAAGGCACCAGAAGAACCACACGGATGTCCACAACTGCCCGGGCTGGACCCACGCCCAAGCCCTGATGGCATCAAGTACAGCCCCCGGCCCCTGCGTAGCTCACGGGAGCGAGGGAGGGGAGGAGGCGCACACAGCATGGGAACCCCAGCGTGAGGGGGAGCAGAGGCACCACACCACTTCAAGTCAGGTCAAAACCGCTGCTCCCGCACCGCGGTGGGAAGAGCAGGCTGAGGGGGTCAGCATGCCGAGAGAGGAGGAACTGAGGAAATGGGGAAGGCAGAAGGGGACACCGGGCCAGGGGAGCCGTGCGGAAGAGGGAAGACTCCAGATGAGGAAAAGGAATAAGCCTCAACAACTCAGATTGGGGCTGTCCGGGCTTAGCTCCCGGCAGCCTCTGCATCCCGAGAGCCAGGGCCTGGCCTGTCTTCTCCCTTACCAGCCACCGTGGACATGGGTCAAGGACACGGAGGCTGGGCTCCCTCGGCCCCGCCTCTGTCCCGGTGGGAGCCAAGTGTGCGGTGCCGGGGACTAGGCTCACTGACCACTTATATTTGTGCAGGTCCTCTCTCAGTTTCCCAGGAAGAGGGAGGAAGTATGGGGACCTGATACATCCCAGCAGCTAGGTGACAAGGCCAGCAGAGCCACAGCTCCTAACCACCCAGCCCAGCCGAGGATGCTGCTGGCCATGCCCGGAGGGAGGACTGGGCGCTGAGGAACACAAACCCCATTTCCCCCTCTCCAGTGGCCAGGACTGTGCTGGAAGCAGAGTCCGGTCCTTGTCCACAGGAAGTTATGGTCCCAGCCTTTAGAGCCAAATAGATACTCTACTGGCTAGAAATGCAAGAGCTAAAGACACTCAGATTCCAGGAGAGGAGAAGGTGTGACCACACACACACACGCACACAAAACTTTAGACTTGGCTTTGCATCACACTGTAATCCTCTGAATCTTAGTCTCCTGAATAGTAAGGATTACAGATGCAAGCCCCCCAGTGCTTGGCTATGACATGAATCTTAAGGTAACTGGGTGGCCTGATAGGAAAGACAGAGAGAGAGAGAGAGAGAGAGAGAGAGAGAGTGTGTGTGTTCCATTTCCTTCCCCAAAGTGCTTCCTCCCATCTTCTCAGCCTCTCTCTCCCCTTCCTCTCGGCTCTTACACTGCTCCATGACCCCTCTCTTTTTGTGCACTGAGCTTCTAAACAGATGGCCTATAGCCGCTGTTGCCGTGTCCTCACCCCCATTCCCTTCCCCCATGGTCTGGATTTTGCTGGCGATGCTCCTCCCGACCCCCACTGCCAAATCCCCAACTCACTGCGCTCCCACAGGCCTCCCGGCGCAGCCTGCGCTACCTGCGGCCTGCGCTGTTCTGCTATGCGCCTCGCAGCCTCCCGGCCACGGCCTGTGCTGACCCTCTGGACCACTTCCTTTCAGCAAACCCTGATTCAACTTCCATGTTGGCTCTCAATGCGCTCCCACCCCCAGTGCCATCCCCGTCAGGCTCTGTGAATGCACATCGGTTATTAGATGCCGCCTGTCACAGTGGCTGTCAGCTGGCCTGGCGTACAAGCCCCCACTGACAACAGCAGCTACCATTCCTTAGGTCTCTCTGGGCGCCATGGGCTTTGCTGGTCCCTGCCCACCAGACACAGCATCCCGCAAACTCCCACCAGGCAGGATGAGTTGGCTACAATGTTTACAGGGCCACAGACTTTCTACCACACCAGAAACCTGGCCCTTGCACCAGAAACCCCATGCTTCTATGTCCTCTCATGACAGACTGAACTCTCCTGAGTGTGTGAGTCCGTCTATAACCACAGGACTAAATGCAAGGCTAGCACACTGGGGTGTCTGGGTAAGAGTGTGAGCACACACTGGCATGTAACTAAAGGCTCTGCAGAGTCTGGGGAGGACAGCGCTGGACAAAGCAGGAGCGATGCCAGGGCATATCAGTGAACACCGGGGCTCTGCACCAAATGGGAAAGGGGAACTCGTGAGCCAGCAGGCCCACTTCCAGCATGGTGGCTCCCAGAGGAACCATACCTGCAGCCAAGCCCTAGAAATGGCTAGTGTCCTCTGGTCCACCACTCAGTGGTTGCCCTTTGTGCTCTGGACAAGACAGAAGTCATTTACCCAGGAAGCCCTGAGAGACTTTCTCTGAGAGGTGAGAGTACGTGCTCTGGCCAGGGATCAAGTCCTTGTCCCACTGCTATGTGGGAGACATCTCTATACCTACATCAAAGCTTTGGTGGAGCAGAAGCTATGGTTTCGCTGCTGTGCTCTGCTTTGTGGGAGTGCAGCCCCACCACTGAGTTACATCCCTAGTCACTCCATTGGGAAGGGCAAGGGCCCTGCGTTAACAGAGATGGAAGATGAACGGGGGCCTCAGTGCTCACTCAGTTTGTGTGGCCACGATTCCTGAGACACCTGGCCCTGTTGCCAACACACAGCTCCCAGGCTCTCAAACTCAGGGCTTTGGAGCCCAGGGTATTTTGGGACTCGAGGGCAAGAAGGCAAGAGGTGAAGAGCCCTAATTCAACCCTGCCTCAGAGCCCGTCCTTCCCCTGGCTACAGTGCATACAAAGTGTGGCCCAGGCCTCCTCACCAATGATGGCTTCCTTCAGGCTGGACTCCACTGGGAGAATGTTCTTCTCCACCAGCTCCATGGGGCCAGGCCTCTGAGCAATCTTCTCATTGAGGTCATCAGCTAGTCTGGCTCTCTTAAGCTTCAGTTGCTTGGCCTGGAGGGACGGCTCAGCCGAGGTCTCTGCCCATGGGAGAGAACGGGGAGCAGGAAGTTGGAGGGAAGGCCCTGGTCCTGTGCTGGAAGCTTCAGAGACCATCTGAGTGGGAAGTGCACCCTGGGAGAGAAGGGGGGCCTGGCTTCAAGTCACAAAGACAGCTCTGCCAGGCCAGGCAAGGTAGAGGACTTTCTGTGGAGTTTCAGGGTCAAAGGAATACGAAATGGGGGAACGGCTCTCCGCTCGCCGGAACCGTGAACTGCTCAGGCAACTCCCCTCTTTGCTCTGGGTCTCACTTAAAAAATGTGGGGTTCAGACTCAAGGTGTTTGTCCTGGTCCTAAAGACGATCCAAAGCTAAACAAACAAAAGTAAATATAGTTGTGCTGCTTCCAGGAGCCAAAATCTCTCTCTCTCCACCTCAGAAAGAAGTACATTTCTGAGCCCCAGCAGTTGTCCGGCTAACTGCCAATGAGTAAGTGACAGAATGAATCAATGAATGAATAAAAAAAAAAGTGCAGGCATGTTAAAAACAAGTTTTGGAGAAGAAAGATGATCTGCTCTGGCAGAGAAGTGTTTTCATACTAAGAGATGGAGGATTGAAAAGGCTGGCAAGCCACGCTGTGGAAATGTGGCTGCCCGTCGTGGGCATTTCCCAAAGCCAGTGGTGGCCCCACCACATTGCTGTTTCACTGTGAGAAGCCTCAAGCTGGCTCCTGCCAGCACAGAGAGAATAAAAAACAGGTGGAAGAAAGTGCTGGAATGGTGTGAGCACAGTGGGAAGCATTTCCAACCTCTCATACCTTCCAAAATGTGCATCCTGACCAACTCTGATCTCTCCGGCCGGGAGCGAATCTTCCGCTTCAGATAGTCCTCGGTCTGCGGAAAGAGCACATCAAGAAACTCTCAAAGCCAGGGCACGATATGCTTATGGCATATGCACAACCAGACCTCAAAGCAGGAGTGGCCGGTCACTCTGTGGCCACCGTGGCTTTTATTTGGTGACTACAGGGCAAGCAGGGCCTGAGAGACACATCAGTTCCCCGGCATCGGCCAGGTACTGTTCTCTGGACCCAGCTGCTGCTGAGGCTGCGCTACTACATGCGTGCCATGATAAAGGTAACAGACGTTCATCGAAGAAAATTAGGTGTTGTCCAAAAAGAAAGGTACTCTTCACCTGACTTACGTAACTGTAACCTCTCTGTAAATCACCTTTATAATAACAAGGAAAAAATTAAAAGAAAGACAAATCCAGGAGCCAGTGGCTCACGTCTATAATGCTAGCTACTCAGGAGGCTGAGATCTGAGTCCAGGCAGGAAAGTCCATGAGACTCTTATCTCCAATTAACCACCAGAAAACCAGAAGTGGCACTGTGGCTCAAGTGGTAGAGCGCTCGCCTTGAGCTGAAGAGCTGAGGGACAGCGCCCAGACCCAGAGTTCAAGCCATACAACCAAAAAAAAGCAAGCAAAGCAAGAGAAAATTAGGGTAAAAAGTAAAACATTTAGACAACTAGTATTAGTATCTTGGGATATTTTTTCCTAGACTATCGAAACAATGTAGAAAATATCTTTAGTTTTATAGGGCTGTAATCAAAGTATATATACACATGTGTATATTTACGTGTGTGTGTGTGTATGAGATCTCAGCCTATGTGTGACCTCACAGTGGCATCTGGCCAAGACCTTTAGTGAAAAGGACAGGATCGGCTGAGACTGACTAGGTCAGGACAGGGGAAAGTACAGCAGGAAAACACAATGCCAGGGTTCATTTTCTGAACTAAAGGTCAAGCCTGGTCCCTGCCTTCTCCCTGCCAGGGCAGATCCTCTCTCTCCAAAATCAAGGCTATCACCTTGATGCTCTGTGGCAGTCCTGGGATCTGAGCACCCCAGGAGATGGTGCGAAGAGGCTGTGGGTGGGCAGGGGCACCCCCAGCCGAGGGCAGAGTGTGGCTCCAGTTGCCACAGACGCAAACACATGTTGTAAAGCTACCTGAAGCTCTGTATAGTGGTCTAGGGAGAAGCAGAATATGGGACTGATTACGAAAATGCCTAGAGGAACTTCTGGAGGCAGTGAACTCACGGCTGCTGGGAGGGTGGAAAGGACAAATTTCCTGATAGAAACCAGAGGACCAGTTTGTTTCCAGTGCAGAATGGAAAGAAAAGGGCTTGGCGGCTGCTGCTATTGAAGCATTCACCAGTACAGGAGGACAGGGTGGCCAGATGAGGAATGGAAAGGGGATCAGCCACGTGATGTGCCGTGTCTGAGAGATCCTCTAATTAGGACCTGAGGCCAAGGGGGTGGGGAGGCGGCCACTACAAATGCTGCCTGCAGAGAGGCAGATGGGTTGCGGGGTGCCATGAGTTGATGAGGACACGTGGGACCCCTGGAACACAGGCTAACAGGGTAGGCATCTTACGGAAATGCAAAATCAGTAGCTTTCTAAAGCTTTAGGTTGTTAGACCTAATTAACTAAAGCAAGTTATGCCATAACTAATCCAAGAACTCATTTTTCATACCTCAATGAAGATAATTTTTAGTATATAATTAAATATGAAAGCAAATATTGTCATTTGAATGTCGTTTGTGAACAGATGTGTACCATAAGCACATACTGGATAAATGTTTACCATGTGTTAGAAAGTAAAATTACTTTGCTAATAGAAATAAATCTGGGCTGTGGTGTGGTTCCTAGTGCCACTAAGACAACAAAACAAAACCAAAGCCCACAATCCTAGATTTGCCATTGCTGGTTAGACAAGTTAGCTACGCACTCTTGGCTGCGTCTGTATGGAAAATGGCACCTAAATCACAGGGTGCCATGAGGGTGAATAAGGAACAGCAGGATCAGTGCTGAAGGACCGCGGGTGGGCAGCACCGAGCCCTGCCTGCCCGGGAAGCTGTGGAGGGACTGGAGCCTGTCTGTTCTGCGCTGCCGCAGGCCCCCTCCAGCCAGGCCTTCTCTGGCTTCCAGAAAATGGAACAGAGCTTTGTTCCTGGCACCCATGATTTCATTCTTCTCACTTCTGAGAACTGAAGAAAGGTCTCTGGAGTAAACTTTTCGGTCTCTAAGAGAGGTATAGGATTTCAGGGAGCCAAGGCCCGTGGTTCTCTGTGGTGAGGTGCTTTTTTCCTTAATTTCATATGAAGGGAAAAAAGCCAGGGGTAGAAGGCAGCGGAGAGAAACACATTCTGGTGACTTCTTCATCTCCACCCACACTGTACAGCAGGGTATTCCCCGGGGGCCTGGGAGACGAGGACACAATGGAGGAGCTGCACTAGGAAACCCCGCTTGGAATATGACCTCTCTTCTGCTTCCCAGAGTACAGGAGGGTGCTGGCTGCCCTGGGTAGACGGGAGAAAGGGAGGCTCTGCCGCGAGCGCCTACCCGCAGGGCTGGGGGAACGTGCTCTGGACGCAGAAAGCCTTCCCATGGCTGCCATCCATGAGCGCCTCAGCAAAATGAAAGCTGAGAAAGCCTAGTGGTCCTCAAAGCCAGGCTTGGGGAAGGAGGCCAGAGAGCATCACAGAGCTCAGAGGCACTAAGAGCCTTGCCCTCCTTCTACTCCAGTGTCACCACAGGAGTGGCCAGGGGGGAGGAGGGGGATGAGCAGAGGTTTCTATTATTTAGAGCTGTGAAGCAAAGGTGACCCTAGACTGTGCTACCACTGGAGAGAATTGAGAGCCAGCCATGTGATGAGTTCTTACAACGTGCTTCAGGGGTCTTTGGGAAAGGAGATCCTTACCCGAGCCCGCTCCAGGCTCCTTCTCTGCTCATGAAACGCAGCAGGACTTTTCAAAGCTGTTGAAAGAAGAACCATAAAATAATGACTTTTAGAGGCTGGGGATATACTGGATGGTAGAGCACACACACGAACAAGGCCCTAGGCTCAATCTGCAGCATAAGGAAGGCCAAAGGGAAGAAGAGGGGAAAGAGGAAGGGTAAGGGGCAGAGGGAGGGGGTAAAGGGAGAAAAGGGAGAGGAAAGTGGGGGAAAACACTTTAAAGGAGGTGGTATCACATTTAATACTACAATTTTCAGCGGAGAAGGCATCTTAAATCCAACTTAATATTAGCAGTGTCTTTAATGACGCCCGAGTGGTCAGCTGCCCTGCTAAGCAGTTTGGGTCACTTCATGGGAGCAAGTCACTGCTCTGGGCGTGGGTTTTATACTGTGGTACAGCCCCATTATCAAAACCTCAGACAGGGGCTGGGAAGGTGGCTCAGTGGTAGAGCGCTTGCCTTGCACGCATGAGGCCCTGGGTTCAATTCCTTAGCACCACAGAAGCAAAAAGAAAAAAGCTGGAAGTGGCGCTGTGGCTCAAGTGGTAGAGCACTAGAGCCTTGAGCTGAAGAGCTGAGGGACAGCGCCCAGGCCCAGAGTTCAGGCCCCATGACTGGACCTCCCCCCAAAAAAAACAAAACCTCAGACATCACCTCCTGGGTCACACCTACTCTGGGGAGGCCACAGAGAGGGGGCAGGGCTGCCTGCTGGGCCACTTGACTTCTTCAGCCTCATTAGGAATCAAGTGAGCGGGCCCGTTTAATGGGACAGGGAAGCCAAGGAGTCGATGTCTTCTCAAACGCCACTTCCATCTTCAGCAGTGTCCAGTGCTGTTAAAAGCCATGGTGTGGTTCACGCTGGTGAAGAAACCCACCCCCCACAGCTGATATGTGGCTCCATTCTGTTCTGGGACACTGCCATAGCACCTTAGCTCCCATCTACAGCAAGCAGACTAAACCAAGCCCCTGTGCAAATGCTGCAGTGTGGACAAAGGGCCTGTGTCTCTTTGTCAAAAGCTTGGTTATGAGGTGACCGATGACGATTTAAAACATTGAGGATGAGGGAAAGGTCTGACTCACTTCAAGCAAGGAACAGTGGCAATAAGAGAGAAATGCACAAGACTATGGTCAGTGTCACTTCTGCTTCCCAGGATCTGTGAACAGCTGTGAAACTGCACAAAAAGATAACTTCTGGGCTGCTGTCTGTGGTAGAAGGCAGGGATAGGGAGGTGCTAAAAGTAGCAAGAGCACAGATAGGACTCTATCCTGCCCAGCCTCTCTGCTTCCTCCCTTCCCTCCCCCAGGGCACTTAGCCTTAAGCAAGAGCAGTCTCACAAGAAACTTTCAAAGTGCCAGCACCACTTGTTTAAGGTGTTTTTTTTAAGTTATTATGAGAAAAGTGGGAATTTAAAAAGAACTCCACACAGATTCCTTCCCATTCCTAAGCAGCAGGAGGCGCTCTAGACTTAGCAAACAGTCTCAGAAAAGCCACAGGCTCTCTCCAGTCCATCAGCGCGCCCATCCCAGGGAGCCGTCCCATTACCAGAGGCGGATGGAGGAGGCTTGCACCTGTTTCTTTTGGGCAAAGCTGGCACAATTCCAAAATCAGTTCCAAAGCCCAATGTAGCAGGACCTGGTGTGGGTGTTATGGGTGTGACAGGCCAGTGGGAATGAACGCACTGCCTTGGCTCTTAAAAACTCAGCACATGATGAGACAAGGAGAAAACTTCACGTCCACTGGCCCACCCAGCTCCCCTTCTGTCTCATTTTCTCCAAAGCACTCATCATCAACTTGACTGTCCTTCTAGTAATGAGACAAGGTCTTGCTATGCAGCCCAGGCTGGTCCCCAGCCCTCCGCCTGTGTGCTGCGATTACATGTGTCTGCTACTATCTGCAGCTAGAGTTTGTTAAGTGCTCTAACATCGAGCCACGTTCCCAGCCCAGCTAGTTCTGACATACTTCACCGCCCCCCCTTTGCCCCCACAGGGCTGAGGAACAAATTCAGGGCCTTGCACATCCTTTTCTACTAAGCTAAATCTCTAACCCCTAACATACTTTTTATTACGTATTTTCAGTCTCCTATCATGACAACAGGTCATGACTCATCTGGGTTGAAAATTTCACAAAAGCCCCAGTAGCAATACAAGGGATTTGTAGACTAGTGCTGGCTCTAACAACACGGGTGTGAGTGCTTTCAGGACCTCATTCCTTGTAGAGAGCAGGACTCTGCTCACCTCCAAGAAGAGAACCAAGTGAGAGTGAGTGCACTTGCAGGAGCTCAGGATGTGAAGTGGTGCTGTCACCAGACACTGTGATTCACTGAGTCACTGGCTCAGTTTCCACAGGCCAGAGCATTCTACACACTATCCCATAGAGCACACCACTAACTTGTGGAAAAAACAACCTGCAAGCACAGAGCATCTTGACAGGAGTGGCTCTATCATCTTTGTGTTCAAAGGGCAATGTATATTAATAGGAAGCCAGGTGAATGAATGGCTACTAAAGTATGAATTCTTATTTGGTCCTGCAGTTACGGGAGCCTTCATATAATAGCAAGGAAGGGACTAATTTTCAACGTGTCAGCTTACGGGGCAGGTACTGGTCCAGATATTTCAAATATGCCGGCTCACTCAATATCCCTAGTTATTCCATATGTGTGTGTTGGGGGGGGGAGGGCGGTTATATTCATTTTTATGGGCCCAGAGGAAAAGCTAGCCGCAAGGCATCACTGAGAGCCAGGGTAGATCCAACCCAGGCCCACTTCTGCCTTCTCTTCATCTGAACCTTCTGTTCAATGTGTAAATTCCAAGTAGTTCTATTTCTTTCCTCCTTGCCTCCTCTTTGGAAGTACTGGGGTTTGAACTCAGCTTTATGCTTGCTAGGTAGGCACTTTACCACTTGAGTCATGTCTCTAGCCCATTCTGCGCTGGTTATTTTTGAGACATGCTCTTACTTTTTGACTAGGCTGACCTGAACCGCAATCATCCTATTTTTTCAGTTCCTGAAGTAGCTGGGATGATAGCTGCATGCTACCATACCTAACTAGCTATTATTGAGATGAGGTATCTTGAAATTTTTGCCCAGGCTGGCCTAAAATCATGATCCTCCTAGATCTTAGCCTCCTAAGTAGCTAGGATTACAGGTATGAGTTATCACACTTGGTTCTGCTTTGTTTTTGAGATTAGGTCTTGCTTTTTGCCTATACCAGCCTGGACTGTGATCCTATTTATATTTCCCATTCTGCATCTGGGGTAGCAGATGAATATCACTAGTTTCAGCTTTGTCTGTTGACATGGGGTCTTGTGAACTTTTTGCCCAGCTTGCCTCAAACCACAATCCCTTCACCCTCTGCCTCCTGAAAAGCCAGAATTACAAGCATGCATGATAGTGTTTGTCTTCTTTCTCCATTTTTATTACTGTTCAGCAGGTTCAGTGATTTCAAGAGCCTGGAGACAGGCCAGCAAATGCCCACTGGGGAAAGGCATTTGCTGTTGGAAGGCAGCTCCAGTGTGTGTCTACACGGCATTGCTAGTGCCGCACTGTGGAGGGCAGCGTGGTGATGGAGGTGTAAGATACCCCAAGGAAATACTTGGGCTTTTGTGATGTGGGAGCAAGTAAAATGGAGACTCAAATCACTGAAGCCTTCATGCTACGAAGATGAGAAGGAAGCAGAGTGAAGTGGAAAATAGGCTTTGAAGTTTAGGCCTCTGGTAGTTGTGGAAAAAGCAAAAAGACTCAAAGTTAATGGACAAATGAAGCCACCCAGGAGGGCCACAGCTCCCTTGGTCCATCTCCTCCTCCATGCCGCTTTAATAGCTTTGAGAGGGAAGGTCCAGGGTATTATTTATTCTAATTTTCATTTCCCCAGAACTCCTGATCTCTGAAAAGCCCCAAAGGCCAATGCAAACCTATGAACTGTTACAGACAGTCTCTTGCTCATCCTTCCCCCACAGCCCCCCACAAAAAGCATAAACAGGAGGACAGAGTCTCAAGCTAGCCTGGGCAAAAATCAAAGCACTATCTGAAAATAACCTAAAGGAGATGAGAGTATGTCTCAAGCTGTCTATCAAGTGCCAGGTGCTGAGTTCAAACCCCAATAGCACTGAAGAAAAAGTCACTGGTGCTCTGGTACTACTGTGTGTGATGAAGGAAGTGTGCAGCTCCCGTGAAGAAAAAGGCCAGGCCCCTGCAGAAGTCAATGAGAGAAGTGGGCAGGAGGAGTGGCCATCTCACTCAGTTTCAGTTCTAGAATATGGGCCCACCCAGTGGCTAGAACCACTAATGAAGATACCAACACTCATTTTCTTCCTCTTCAGACACATAGGCTGCCTTTAATATGAGGACATTTGTGAGAAAAGAAGTAAAAAGAGAAAACCCATTTCTATTTTAAGACCATTCTGGCAAGCATCTTTGGAAGGAGAACATGGAGCTGAGCTTGGGGATGTCTGCAAGCCTGGGACCAGGCTCACCTTGATCTCACCTAACACTGAAGAGTAGACAGGATGACCCTGAAAAAACTGGCTTAGCTCAGCAATTTCTGGAGCTCAAACCAGCTTTCCCCTCACCAGCACCAGATTTACTTACACCTGCAGCCAAGTGAGTGCTCTATGCTCCCTGTCATGGATGACAGCAAGGAACTGCTGAGCTCATGTCCTCATGGGACGGTTCCCACCCTGGGTAGGATGGTACACGCAAAGCTCTGTCATCACCAGAACTGGAAACTATGCACCTACAACAGAGGGCTCTGGAGTGCCACAGTCCAGGCAGCCCATCTTTCAGGCAAGCTGGCTATTGCTTAAGGTTCTTTTTCTTCCAAGGAAGTGGGGAGCAAACGCCCAGTGCAGTAGTGGGGGCCAAGAGAGAAGGGAAGGGGGAGGGAGGGAATAAACACATACCAAACCATGTGGGAAACAATCCCTAGCCCTCAAAGAAAGCTCATGATTTGTGGGAGCAAACAGTTATGGTGCCAGGTGGAAACATGCCACTGATGCTCATTTAAGGTGCCATCAAGAACAGGA